TCGATTCAGTCGTAACAACGTGAGTGAGGAAATTCGAGTAGTTTTGACCCAGAAAGCGAAACTTGAATATCAGACACTTTGGTGCAAGATTATGCCAAAATTTCATGTTTTCCGGCCCGTTTTTGCTCATTTCTCGGAGGCAAAATGAACAGGAACGCTCATTTGTACATCATTCTAGAGAGAAATAAATGGCCTTTTTAGAAAGTGGACCATGGATGGGGAAATGTTGTCAGTTTTCTCAAAAAAGGCTCCGTTTCAGGAAGTTTTTGGTTGAGTTGCAAAATTGACTCAAACACGACGTTGCTTTTTTGGCAGTTTCTCAGGCCTCATTTGACCCACATAATTCGTTTTGGCATCGTTGGATAGAGAATTGAATGGGGGGGGGGGTCATGATCCCCATGCCCCCCCTCTTGGATCAGCCCCTGATTGTGATCCGTATCAGCTTTGAGGTACCATTTTGTTGATTCAACGGCAGCTTTTATCGATTATTGGCGAGAATGTGCTCAGTTTCAACGAACTTTTTGGATTATTTCCATCCAGACTGGTCTAACAGTCGACAATGATGCACTAATGTGGCGGATAATTGCAGTTTTCTCCCAAATAGAGGCCGAATCAATAAATGAATTCTGGTGTTTATGCGTTCGCTGGTAGCGAGGCGACGAGAGCATTCAATCTTCAAAGGGGCTTTCAGCACATAGCGAAAATTCAAAGATGAACAGCGACGATAACAATGAAAGCAAAATCCTCTTCGGTAAAGATAAGGTCTTTGTTTATTCTGCACGTCCAACATACACAGTGCGCGACGATTTATTTTCCCAACTGCGAATCGCATCCTTATTTATGAGGATTTTGATCTTGATTCGCGGATGCGTCCAGTGGATGCGATCTTGCGAACCATCCGAATAATTGCATTGTTTGTTTTTGTGCCGGAAGATGTTTGGCCAATCGCATGCCAATGGGGCCATCCGATTGACGAAGTGAAATTTTCATAAAGCGCTATCATGAAAGGAGGTGGGAGTTGAATAAATCCGGTTCTCCGGGATGAGAAAAACGTGTTCCATTCATTCATTTTCTTCTTTGATCCACAGTAAGTCGTTGGAATGTCAATGACCAAACTACCATTAGTGTCTTCTTAGGCAGGAATTTTTCCTTCTTTAAGGGGCCAACAATTTCTAGTCGGAGCCCGCGTTCGTCTTTGGAAGCGAGACGTAATCCGAAACCTTCCATTTAACTACCGTGAACATTAAAATCTTTTTGTGGTACCTTTGGGTGCAGTAGCGCTTCGATGGTAATTTCTTTAACTTACTTTTGAGAATTTTCCTGCTTAGAACTTGGGGAGTGGAAAAGTTGAATCGATCTCACAACGCAACTGAAACATCATTGAATCGTGCAGTCGAGAAAAACCGCGCTAAATCCACTTAAAACCCTGCAGATCTGCGTTGATATCACTCCATAAAGTGTTCACATCTGCGGATTTGCTTTGATGTAACGGCCTTTTCGAATTCCTGAAATCCTGATTCAGACGCTTGAATTTACAACATCCTGCCTCCCTTTTTTGCAAATTAAGCTTCAACGGCGCCCGTCTAGTTCAATCGTTTTTTTCGGAAAACTCGTGTTGTTTTTTTACGAACTTCTTTTTGGGGTATTTTGCCTCAAAAATTTTGTCTTTAAAAAAAAGACAGAATTTCCTCACGTCTTTTATTACAGATTGATGAATAGTGCTCCTATTTCGCAATAAGAACGAATTATTTATCAAAAAGTAATCA